CTGCAGTGGCTGCTCCAAATGACCAGAGTTGTCCTTTGTTCTTCTGGTAACTTTCTTCATATTCTTTCCCTTAATTTTAGTGATTAAAAGCACTTTTATGGTGAATAGAACACATACTACAGGTTGTAGAAAACTAATGTTTTTAGCTTTAAGAATAATAATACATCAGGGGCGCCTGGGTGGCTCAGTTAGTTAAGCGTCCGACTTCGGCTCAGGTTATGCTCTCACAGTTTGTGAGTTTGAGCCCCCGGTGGAACTCAGCACAGAGCTGGCTTCGGATCCTCGGTCTCCCTGGCTTTATCTGCCCCTCCCCCACTCGCACGCACGCTCATTCTCTCAAGTATAAATAAACGTTTTAAAAAAAGAATAGTGACGCAACAAATCCCAGGTATCCATCACCTAGGTAAAGAAAGGGAATATTACCAGCATCCTCAAAAGCCCCAGCGTGTTCTCCCTGATGGATTCAAACCCTAAGTAAACATTATCCAGATTTCGGTGGTAACCATTCTTCTTCTTTCGAGTCTGCACCTATGTTTGTGTGGAAGATTTGTAATGAGTTGATGTAGTTACACTGGAATCACGTTTCCTCAAGCTCCCTTTCTTGCCTAGTTCCGCCTCAGCCGTCGGCCAGGAGAGACTTCTGTGTGAGCTTTACCAGCAGAAGCTGCATTTTTTTTATGCTCTGGAAGGTCAGCGCGAGGCAGCAGATGCTGATCTATGTTGTGCCTCATTTGCTGGCTCCTCTTGTTAGTGTGGGGCTGCTGCTGAATCCGCAGCACTTCCTGCTCCAGAGCCAGGTGTGCTCTGACCTTCATGACGCAGGCATTGGCGTCTCCAGCAGGCCATCACACGTTGAACTTGAAGGCCATGAGAGGCCAGTGCAGGTCTCAGTCTGTCGTTGCATGGTCGAGCTTGTCCTATTCTCTGCTTCACGTGATCTCTCCTTCTCAGCCACCTGTCCTGCCACTTCCAGGTCCCAGCACCAGAAGCAAAGACCGCAGCCTGACCTAGACTGTCTAGCCAGCTCCCACAACTGCATACAGTCAGATCCCTACAACCTGTCTCTCCTCCAAGGGGTCCCGCTTTCCTAATTGAACCCTGCGTGACAGCGCGTGTGTCCTCGATAGAGGGTTTAGGGCTGCCTGTCTTTGCACTTTGTTTTTTTTTTTTTTTTTTTGTTTTTTCGATGTTTAAATTATTTTATTTATTTTTTTTTATTTATATATGAAATTTATTGTCAAATTGGTTTCCATACAACACCCAGTGCTCATCCCCAAAGGTGCCCTCCTCAATACCCATCACCCACCCTCTCCTCCCTCCCACCCCCCATCAACCCTCAGTTTGCTCTCAGTTCTCAACAGTCTCTTATGCTTTGGCTCTCTCCCACTCTAACCTCTTTTTTTTTTTTCCTTCCCCTCCCCCATGGGTTCCTGTTGAGTTTCTCAGGATCCACATAAGAGTGAAACCATATGGTATCTGTCTTTCTCTGTATGGCTTATTTCACTTAGCATCACACTCTCCAGTTCCATCCACGTTGCTACAAAAGGCCATATTTCATTTTTTCTCATTGCCACGTAGTATTCCATAGTGTATATAAACCACAATTTCTTTATCCATTCATCAGTTGATGGACATTTAGGCTCTTTCCATAATTTGGCTATTGTTGAGAGTGCTGCTATGAACATTGGGGTACAAGTGCCCCTATGCATCAGTACTCCTGTGTCCCTTGGATAAATTCCTAGCAGTGCTATTGCTGGGTCATAGGGTAGGTCTATTTTTAATTTTCTGAGGAACCTCCACACTGCTTTCCAGAGCGGCTGCACCAATTTGCATTCCCACCAACAGTGCAAGAGGGTTCCCGTTTCTCCACATCCTCTCCAGCATCTATAGTCTCCTGATTTGTTCATTTTGGCCACTCTGACTGGCGTGAGGTGATATCTGAGTGTGGTTTTGATTTGTATTTCCCTGATAAGGAGCGACGCTGAACATCTTTTCATGTGCCTGTTGGCCATCCGGATGTCTTCTTTAGAGAAGTGTCTATTCATGTTTTCTGCCCATTTCTTCACTGGGTTATTTGCTTTTCAAGTGTGGAGTTTGGTGAGCTCTTTATAGATTTTGGAGACTAGCCCTTTGTCCGATATGTCATTTGCAAATATCTTTTCCCATTCCGTTGGTTGCCTTTTCGTTTTGTTGGTTGTTTCCTTTGCTGTGCAGAAGCTTTTTATCTTCATAAGGTCCCAGTAATTCACTTTTGCTTTTAATTCCCTTGCCTTTGGGGATGTGTCGAGTAAGAGATTGCTACGGCTGAGGTCAGAGAGGTCTTTTCCTGCTTTCTCCTCTAGGGTTTTGATGGTTTCCTGTCTCACATTCAGGTCCTTGATCCATTTTGAGTTTATTTTTGTGAATGGTGTGAGAAAGTGGTCTAGTTTCAACCTTCTGCATGTTGCTGCCCAGTTCTCCCAGCACCATTTGTTAAAGAGACTGTCTTTTTTCCATTGGATGTTCTTTCCTGCTTTGTCAAAGATGAGTTGGCCATACGTTTGTGGGTCTAGTTCTGGGGTTTCTATTCTATTCCATTGGTCTATGTGTCTGTTTTTGTGCCATGTCTTTGCACTTTGTACTGGGTTCCAATTGTCTCTTTAACTGGCTTGCGTACCAGCTCAGAATACGGTAACCCTGTTCTGAGCCTGCTCCCAACCCTGGGCCCCAAGCCTCAGTTGGCCCTTACCTCTATCATATGAGTGTAGGCACTGAAGTAGAGACTGGCCCTACCTGTATGAGCGGAATGCTCTGAGACGTTCATGTATATATTTCCCCCATCTGTTTGTAAGGGGCCTGAAGTCTCACCACTAGAAAAGCAAAATATCTGAAAAAACGAACCACACTGGGAATTTTCATTGCAGCTCTACTCTGACCCAGCTATGAGATTTTGATGAAGTTGCTTTGTTCGGGCCTCAGTTTCCTCATTTATGTACTGCAAGGGTTGGCGGGGAGGGAGGGGGGCTCCAGGTTGCCTCCGGCTCCACTATGGCAGTGGTGGCATGGTTTTCCACGTGGGTCTGCATGCAATGAATTTCAATGTGATGTGCAAACTGGAGGTACTTCTTTATGTCACCCAAGAGAGACTGGAGGCTGTCCTGATCTCATGAACAGAGGGAGCCCATCCCGCAGAGAATGGGGAGGGGTTGCTGTGGAGGAAGGCGGTATAAACTTGGGCCACAGAGAAAAAGGGTGTTCGTGCAAGTAGGGGAATATATCTCCAGAAGCAAGAGCCCCCCTCGCCCCCCTCGTCCCCCTGCTTAGATGGAGCAGGCAGATCTAGACAGAAAGGAGCTGGGCCCTAGGGACGCCTGGGTGGCTCAGTCAGTTAAGCGTCTGACTTCGGTTCAGGTCATGATCTCACGGTTCTGTTTGTTCTGTTTGTGAGTTTGAGCCCCGCGTCGGGCTCTGTGCTGACAGCTCCCAGCCTGGAGCCTGCTTCGGATTCTGTGTCTCCCTCTCTCTCTGCGCCCCGCCCCGCCCCCCCTGCTCGCACTCTGTCTCTCTCTCTCTCTCTCAAAAATAAATAAACCTTAAAAAAAAAAAAAAAAAAAAAAAAGGAGCTGGGCCCTGCCAGTGGGACTCGGGCCTGGAAACTTGGGAGGGAAGGAAGAAATCAACAACTCAAAGGCAGGCCCGGGATTTGCCTCCTCCTAGTGATGGCTTGGTCGGTCAGTTCCTTGTGCCAAGGGAGGAGGGAGGGAGAGAGTGAGAAAGAGAAACATTAACAGACACCTAATTGCAACTGAGTCTCTGCCTGATTGCTCCTGGGCTTGTTTTATCCTCTTATTTTCCTTGGAGAAACATGCTTCCTCGAGCCCTTGTTATAGGAGGAAGAGCAGAGCCCCGGAACCAGAGTGAAACTTCCCACTGACAATGATCTCAGGGAGCCATCTGGCCCATCCACTGTGCCAGGTCAGAACACCACCGGCCCCTCTGGCAACTCGGGCGTTCCCTCTAGTAAATACATGCTCACCTGCCTTTCCCACCTGCTGAATCAGAGGCTGCTCTGGAGGCTTGGCCAGCGCGATGGGTCATGCCTGAACCTGAGCTTAGCACAGTGCCTGGCACAGAATGAGCTCAGAACAAGGGATAAATCGTTGCCTGGATTAATCCTGTTTGCACTTTTCCTGAGTTGGGAGTGTTAGTTACATGCCCTTCGAACACTCCAGCTCAAGAGATTTGCTCCTGCCTCCCTGGTGAGGCCTGTTTTCAGGACTCCGATTTAGTGGTCAGAGAGCTGGTAACAGGAAGGGGATCAGAACCTGGTAAAGGTTGGGGACTGCGCACTTCAACTCCCCTTGACGTCTTATTTCCTTAGCAAGCTGCTCAGAGCTCTCTTGTCCCCTGCAGAGACAAGGCCTGTGAACAGGAGGGCTGCCAGGGAAGGCTCTGCCATATTCCAGAGCCCTGGGCTGGCAGGCCCTTAATAAGTACTGCTAAAGCAGTGAGTTGAAGCCTTTGTTTTGTGTGGAAATCAGTTCCCCATGCTGCAAGAGTGTGCTTTTGCCAGTCTGGACGATGGGCGTATGTGTGCACGTGTATGTGTGAGTGTACGTTTTGTGTGAGACTCGAAGTAGGGGTTGCTGACTGGGCTCAGGAGAGCTCTCTGACTTCCTGCTCCCCCGTCTAGCTGATCTGGTCAACATACTTGGCTTTTCTAATCCCATCCTTGACACTCTTGACTATGGTTTCACCCAAAGTCACGAGAAGCACTAGATGACCCCGGGACACATTTCCTTCCATAACACATGACAGCAACAATAAGCTTGGGCTCAGGATGAAGGAGGTAGAAAGGCTGGCCTCAATCTCTATTTCAATCCTCTCTGTGTGTCCAATAAACAGCAAAGGGGTTTATTTATTGTAAATAAATGTACACTCAGGACCTCTGCTCACCCTTATCTGACTTTCCAGTTTGGATGCTTTTTGTTGCAAGTAATTAAATACTCGACTAAAAGTGGTTTATATATAAAAAAAGACATTTAATTATCTCCCTTAACAAGAAATTATTGGTAGATGGTTCCATGGCTGGTTCAGTGGCTACAATTTGTCTTTTGGGAACTAGTTTTTTTTTTTTTTTTTTCATTGTAGTAAAATACACATAACATAGAATTTACCATTTTTACCATTTTTAAGTGTACTGTTTAGGGGCATTAAGCACATCCACACTGTTGTACAACTATCACCACAAGCCATCTTCAGAACCTTTCATCTTCCTCAAATGAATTCTGTACTCATTAAACAATAACTTCCCATTTTCTCCTCTCCCCATTTCCTGGTAACTGTTATTTTACTTTTCGTCTATGAACTTGACTCTTCTCGGTACTTCCAATAAGTAGAATCATACGCTATTTCTGTCTAGCTTATTTCGCTTAGTGTAATGTTTTCAAGGTTCATCCATGTTGTAGCCTGTATCAGAACTTCATTCCTTTTTTAAGACTGAAGACAAAATTCCATTGCACGTATATCCAACATTTTGTTTGTCCATCATCCACTGAAGGACACTTGGGTTGTTTTCCCCTCTTGGCTATCGTGTATAATGCTGCTATGAACACTGGTGTACCAATATCTGAGTCTCTGCTTTCAGTTCTTTTGGGTATACACTTAGACATGGAATTGCCAGATCGTATAGTAATTCTAGGTGTCATCTTTTGAGGCACTGTTTCTCACGGCAACTGCACCGTTTCACATTCCCACCAACAGTGCACGAGGGTTCCACCAGCTTTCCATATCCTTGCCAACACTTGTTATTGTCTGTTGTTGTTGAATTGTAGGAATTCTTTATATATCATGGAAAGTAACCTGTATAAGATATATGATTTGCAAATATTTTCTTCCATTCCGTGGTTTCCCTTTCCACTCTGTTGATGGTACCCTTTGACGTACATAAGGTTTTACCTTTGATGAAATCTAATTTATCTATTTATTCTTTTGTTGCCTGTGCTTTTGGTGTCATATCCAAGGAATCATTGTCGAATCCAATGTTATAAAATATTTCCTCTATGTTTCTACTAAGAGTTTTATCATTGAAACTCTCCTGTTGAGGTCGTTGATCCATTTTCAGTTAACTTTTGTGTATAGTGTAAGAGAAGAGACCAAGTTCATTCTTGTGCACGTGAATAGTTTTCCCAGCACCATTTGTTGAAAGACTATCCTTTCCCCACTGAAGAGTCTTGACGCCCTTGTTGAAAACAATTTGACCATTTATGCTTAGGTTTCTTTCTGGGCTCTTCATTCTCGGGTCCTTTTTATACTTTGACTCCATCTGCCTAAGTATGTTGGGCATACTTAGTTTTTGCCACTTTGTCACATTATATCCTACAACCATATTTAAAGGCAAGAACCAAGGCTGTGTGTGTGTGTGTGTGTGTGTGTGTGTTTAATCAGGAGTACTTCCCAGGAGTCCTCCGGTCCCAGCAGACTTCCTCTTAAGCAATGGTGCACTGAAGCCAGTTTGTACCTGCTTGTGAAAGCAGATCATTACATTTCCTAGATTTTTGTGAGCTGGTTGCTAAACACCACCACCCCTGACATCGCCACGGTGGAGCATTTACACCAGGCAACTTGGCAAATGCTACAAATCAGGACTTTTTTTTCCCCAGGACAGTGGTTGACCAGCACACTAATGCCCTTAAATCTTATTAGTCAGAAGTGAATGATAAGGCCACTCCTAGCAAAAAGGAGTCTTAGAAAGGAGTACCTGTCCTTTTTGGCCTCTCTCAAGGGAACTGGACTTTGCTGACAGGCAAGAAAGAGAGAGTTGGGGCAGCAACCAATGCTGTTTGCCACTAATGGCTCCCAAAGGTGGGAACTTTCTGTAGTCACTTAAAAGAATGTCTGTTAAATGTCTTTAAGTGTCTCAGGGGACAGGGTGCTATGGGCTCAGTGGTAGGATGGACTGAGCTCTAGCAGCTGACATAGCAACTACAGTAAGGGGAGGGGCAGCAGGGCAGGCTTTCTCAACCATACAGGGAGGGCCTGATAAGGATGTGACCCCAGTAACTTCCTGTAACCACAACGGGGGCTGCCTTGACATAGAGACTGTGGACAGCCAGTGGGTGTGAGGCTTAGAATGGGGTGCTGATGGCAAGGGAGGAGCCCCGAGGGGCTGCAACAGGGGCAGGGGCCTAGAAGGTAGTAGAAGTGTTCCCTGAAGAAGAGCCAACAAAGGAAGGCCTGCTGTCCTTGGACAAGTGCTCCTTGCTGATGAGGCCATGGATGGCCATGATCTTGATGAGTCCATGGCGAAACTTCTGGCCAATGAAGGCGTAGATGATGGGATTGAGGCAGCTGTGGAAGAAGCCCAGAATCTCGGTGGCATCCAGGGCCCGGCCAATGTCATTGCGGCGCTCACAGGTCTCTTTGATCGCCTGGAGCCTCATGAGGGTGTCTGCGATCAGGACCAGGTTGTAGGGCAGCCAGCAGAGCAGGAAGATGAGCACGACAGCAAAGATGACCCTCATGGCCCGGTGTTTCTGCCCCATGTGGGCCTCAAACAGCGTGCGCAGGGTGAGTCCATAGCAAAATAGCATGACCATCAAAGGCAGGAGGAAGCCAAAGGTCTGGGGCAGGACCCGCATCACCATCCGCCATTTTGTAGTATTGGCACCCATGTCCTCATAGCAGACTGGGCTGGAATAGGGGGGATAGATGGCCCTGCGGAAGATGAAGATGGGCAGGGACAGGATCAGGGACAGGGCCCAGATGCCTAAGCATATGAACTTGACCCAGTGCCGCTTCTGAGTCAGTGTGCGTGTGGCATGGACAATGGCCAAGTAGCGGTCCACGCTGATGCAGGCCAGCAGCAGGATGCTGCTGTAGAAGTTGATTTCTTTCAGGAGCGAGACCACCTTGCAAAGGGCTGTGCCAAAGATCCAGCCCTTTGCCTTGGAGGCAGCCCAGATAGGTAAGGTCAGGGCAAAGAGCAAGTCGGCTATGGCCAGATTCAGCAGGTAGACATCAGTGACAGAACGACACACCCGACTATATAAGACAACCAGTATCACTAAGGAGTTTCCCAGCAGGCTGAGCACGAAGACCAGGGCATAGATGACCACCATGGCATACTGATTGATTTCCAGAGATTCTGGCCTGCATGGGGCAGAGTCTGACAGAATAGTGGGCAGGTCAGTGTAGTAACTATAATTTTCCATGTCGAAGAGATCTTCCAAGCTGTAATTATCCCAGTCTACTTCCATATTTGAGGCAAACTTAAATCCTGGCCTAGAGAAGAGAGGTGAGAGTTACTGCACAGGAACATCTCCCCAGACTCTAGCCTGTTTGCCCATAAACCTCTGACTCTTCGCTTTGGCTTGTATATTACATGCAAGCAAGTTTCATGTTAGGAAATAGTGGCTCTAGGGTTTTGAGACTCATTTACTTAGTGATAAGTGGTACATTGCATGAAGAGTATAGTTCCCTTCAAAGCCAGAGAGGTTCTGAGCACTTTCCACGACACCACCATCACCCAAAACATTGTTGAAACTTCCCTTCAAATAATCCCTATAGAGCATGTCTTGGATTCTTCAGTGGTGAGCATGTCTGGCTGTTGAGGCTGAATTTAATGTCAGAAACATGAGGTACCATTTAGTTCTTGATCTGGGGGATGAAGCAGGCAATCCAGTTGGATTTGACCACTAGAAAAAGATCAAGGTTTGACTATAAAGCTGAGGGAGGAAGCCCTTTGTCCAACTTTTTGAAAGTTATTTAAAAGAAGTGTGCGGGGAAACAGATTTAGCGGTAACAGCATACAGTTGCAAGATACTTGAGCTAGAAGAAGGAGAGTTTACTCAGTACAGCCCAGTATTTTCCTTTCAGAATGTAGGAGACCTGCAGTGGGAGTATTTGTGTAGTTTGGAAAAAAATATATTAAAAATCCTAAGCAGGTGGCTGATTGATTCTCCAAGTGGGTGGCAATGAAACAGAGTGTCTTGGGAGCTCTAAGGAGCCATATTGTGTCATGCAGAGGTGAGCAGAGAAAGCCAGCGTGCTCCCAGCACGAGGAGCAGAGGCAGCAGGAAGCAGAGAAGACAGGTGGAGACACACTATCCTTGTTTTGGTGGCTTTCCAGTTCTGGTGGGGATACTCTCTGTCCTGCTAGGGAGTGCCTACGACCATCATTGACTCCCCAGCACCCCCAGACTCTCCCCAGGTAAACCCACTTCTCTTGGCTCTGCCCTTGTTATGGGGATAGCCCAAAGCCTGCCTCTGGAGGAAGCTGCAGTCACTCTGAAATATGAACCCAGTTTTCAAACAGGAAGTAAATTAAAATAGACTAGCAACCAAATTAGTTGCTTTTGAACCACAAAATATGTCACCATTGTGCCATTTCTTTATACCGAGGTATCACCATCCTGTGACCATATGCAAGTCTGTGACCCACCTCAAAATGGAACCAGTGTCAAAGAGAAAAAACATAAAGTAAATGGTTCTGGAATTACTTCAATACTAACTAGGATCATCATAATAAAACAAGATGGACAGCAATGATGTTGACAAGGATGTGGAGAAATTGGACCCCTCATATATTGTAAGTGGGAATGTAACATGGTGCAGCTACCTTGGAAAACAGTCTGGCAGTTGTTCAAAAAGTTAAACACAGTTACCAATGACCCAGCAATTTTACTTCTAGACATGTACCCAAGGGAATTGAAAACATATGTCCACACAAAAAGTTGTACACAGATGTTCATAGCAGCATAATAGCCAAAAAGTGGAAACAATCCAAATGTCCATCATCCAATTAAAGGATAAACAAATTGTGGTCTATACAAACAAGGCAATATTATTCAACCACAAAAAGAAATGAAGTACTGATCTATGCTACAACGTGAGTGAATCTTGAAAACATTATTCCAAGTCAAAAAAGTCAGACATAAAAGGCTTCATACTGGATGAATCCATGTATGAAGGAATAGGCAAATCAGTAAAGACAGAAAGCAGATCTGTGGTTGCCAGGGGCTGGAGGGAGGGGAATATTAATGAGTACAGGCTCTCTTTTCAAGGTGATGAAAGTGTTCAGGAATCAGACAGTGGTGATGATTGTATAACTTTGTGCATATATTAAGAATCACTGGTTGTACATTGGAAGTGGGTGACTTTGACAGTGTGTGAATTATATCTCAACCAGAAAAAAAATAGCCAAAGGGCAAGTACATTGAAAAGCAAATACAAATAGTAAAACAATAGCATCAACAATGAAACTCCCAGGGAGCTTTTCTCTTTAACGGAAGAAAGTCTGTTATTGTCAATCACACATAGTAAAGAAGAAAGCTGGGTAGGGATAAGAGACACCAGAAAGGTAATGCCCTTTCCCCTAGAGTGACAGAATTCTTAGCCTTCACTTTCCTGAGAGGTTATTACTTTCTTGCCTAGATGATGGAGGTCAGTTAAGTTAGCCTCTTCGCCCATGGAGACCACGCACAGAGCAGATTCGATCAGTCTGTGCTGGTGGTGGTGCCCTGTCTGGCCAGGAGGAGAAGGTGGTTGTGGGATAGGCAGATGGTACAGCTGGCTCAGCCATGGTTGTTGGCAAGACCTGCAAGTCATTGGCTCTGCAGTCCCATAGTCAAGAGCATGTTTATCCCAGGGTCACATCCAAGGAAGTCACAAGGTCAAGGGTAGGTCGCCTCTGGGAACTGATGATCAAAGGTGCTCTCAAGGGAAACAAGTGACATAAGAGAAGGCCCATTTTTGAAAGTGGATGCAGAACTTGTGCCCACAGAGGAGACCCCTTCCTCCCCCCAGTTATGAGCATTGGCTGTGAGAAGACAGGGCTACAATGGCCACAGAAACTTCCCTATCAGGACAGGACAGGCAGCAGTCAAGTATATTTCACAGATATGCCCTCATTCTGGATAATCCAGTGCTCAGCTGTACTTCCACAAAGTGTCAGTTGGAGGGTCCAGAGGGAGACCCCGCAAATCAGGATAGAAGGTAGAGAACTCGGGAAAGAGAACCAGGCCAGGGCAATGTCCCCCAGCCACTGGGGGATGGGGGGGGGGGGACGAGGTTTGTTGTTGCCTGTTGGGTTTTCAATTTACCAATCTCTAGGGAGGATGTTTTGACAGTTAAAGGGAGAAACTAAGGGAAGGGAGTTAACATATCTGAGATCTGCTTTGTGCCTCATAGGTACGTGATCTCCCTTGATGGTTACAAATAGATATGATTAGCCCCTGTTTACAGATGAGAAGAGAGGCCCAGAGAGGCACAAAAACCAGCCCAGGGTCACAGAGCCTACAAGTGCTGCAGCCAAGGATTCCACATGCTACTTACAGTCTACAGACCTGCTTCATGAAAAAAAATATATACCTCATATATTAAATATACTTCTAAGCTAAGTTCTCAAGATCTCATGAAGTCAGACTGTATACGGTTGATTCCCATCATTTGCTGTTTTGTGCAGTGCTTTCTTAGCTATTCTGTAGACCCAGAATGAAATCTACAGCCCTTGCAGGAATGATAAACCAAACGCCTTTGAACTGGCTAGCTGCTACTGACCACCCAGTCCTGTTCTCGGTGAACAAGCAGGAGACTCCCTCATTGAGTGAGATGGCCATACCCTTGATGAATCATGGCCGTTCAGAAACTCCACAGATGAGGGGCGCCTGGGTGGCTCAGGCGGTTGGGCGACCGACTTCGGCTCAGGTCATGATCTCACACTCCGTGAGTTCGAGCCCCGCATCGGGCTCTGTGCTGACAGCTCAGAGCCTGGAGCCTGTTTCAGATTCTGTGTCTCCCTCTCTCTCTGACCCTCCCCCATTCATGCTCTGTCTATGTCTCAAAAATAAATAAACGTCAAAAAAAAAAAAAAAACTCCACAGATGGGATGAATCCAATTTATTTTATGAAAATGCTATAAAATGGAGACATTTATAAGATCCCAAACATTGAAGGCAATCTTTTCAACAGCAATGGAAAATTCAATCATCTCAATACAATTTTAGCATTTTTTCTCTCTATAAATATAATCCACACATATTTGCATTTAATATAGTGGACGGGGTGGGGGGTGGAACTCAGCAATGTCTGTCCCTTCCTCAGACCCAATCCTGGCCAAAGCAGGAGAGCTCACTGAGTTAGGAAGGGAAGGGGGTGTGAAGAGAGTTGCCCTAAGTGGTTGTTGGAGAGAGGTGTAGGGATGAAGGGCAGAAGCTCTCCCTTTGGGGCAGGGAGGCCTAAAAATGGATAAAGCCCACCCAGGGTGGGGAGAGGTGTCTGGGATAAACAGAGGCTGGGTGTTAAGAAGAATAGAGAACAGAAACATTCTGGAAGGTGAGAGGGTAGGTGTTCCAAGACTTACCAGGAGTCTGGGACTTTCACCTGTACAATGCGATGCGTCCAGGAGGGCAGATGTGCCTGACTGACAGGGCGGCTGTGGTGAGAACACAGTGGAGGAAGTGAGCGGAGGATTTAGATTGCTCAATTCTAGGGTGGAGTCCTCAGGGTGCTGGATACTTTTGATAACTTGAATAATTAATTCCCAGGTCAGCTCTTGGATCACAAGTAATTTTCTGGACCGGTAGAGTCCCATATTGGTAAGGGACATATGGTGTTTTCTAGACAATCTTTTCCATTTCACAGATGAGGCAATTGAGGCCCACACAAAGGCAGCGGTTTGCCCAGGACAGCATGGGTTTATCTCACCTTTGCCCTGGTCTCAGCAGCCCCTGGTTCTTTCAGCTGCCTTGTCTGACTCTCTCCACACTCCAGCTGCCTCTGGCAGCTCCTGGCTCATGAACCTCTTTCACATCTCAAAGGAGAGTGACTCATGAAGACGCCAGAGATTGTTTCCTCCTGCCTCCTGTCCCATCCCATTGACCCCAGGAACCCTTAAAGCCTCACAGATTCCTTCTCCATGTCACATCCTTGTGAGAACTCCCACCCCCAAGGGGGGACCCCACTCTCTTGTCTTTCACCTCCCTGCCCAACCATCTGCCCTGACCAGGGGCTCCTCTAAGGGCATTGCGATTCTTTCTCGGCTTGTACACTTGGGATTGGCTCTGCCGTAGCTACCGTCTTTGGAGCCAAGACCATCGGATTTGGAAAGAAAGCCTTTCGGGAAAAATTAACAACGTATCCAAGTCCAAACAGTGTTGAAAGCAGTGTTGGGTGGCACTAGGAACGGGTTTTGTCACATTGGCTATCGATTACAATGGAAAGGATGAACACGGGCAGAGCAGTGAACACAAATTCACGGCTCCCTCCCAAGCCCCCACCCCACCCCATCCCCTCCACTACGCCTTACCCTAGCCTCTTAGTCTGTGTGTCCCTGCAGAATATTCTCAAAGCCTGCAGCAGACTCACCCAGGCTGCCTGCCCCTACAAAAGAACCTCTGAGTCCAACTGTTTAGCACACATTCTTCGTCACCCTTCCCTTTCCCATGCTGGAGAAGAACGCAGTGACTCCTGACCGGGTGATGCCAAAACCAGACAGAAGCTCGTTATACACGGAGAGAGGAACATGAAAGCAGGATAAGGATTCTGCTGGCCGAGCAGCTCTAGGCAAGTGACTTTTCCTTTCCAAGTCTCAGTTTACTCATCTGTAAGATGAGACCAATGATAGCATCTAACTTGTCAGGTTGTCCTGAGGATTGACTGAAGAATTACCCGTAAAATTCTTAAGACGTACAGAAAGCGTGATGTTAGCCTTTGTCCTCTTAAAAAAATTTTTTTTTCATGTTTATTTATTTTTGAGAGAGAGAGAGAGACAGAGCGTGAGCAGGGGAGGGACAGAGAGAGAGGGAGACACAGAATCCGAAGCAGGCTCTAAGCTCTGAGCTGTCGGCACAGAGCACGAAGCGGGGCTCGAACTCACAGACTGTGAGATCATGCCTGAGCCGAAGTCAGACGCTTAACCGAGTGAGCCACCCAGGCGCCCCTATCATTGTGATCTTTATTACTGAAATAGTGTATCAACTATACGATGACGTCTCTCCACTATACCCCCAAGCAAGGAAAAGCAGCGGGTAGGCTTTCCAGGCTGACTCTGATGTACATCTTCACTTTCTCTGACCTGGATAACAATAGTCACATTAGCTATAATGTTGAGTGCCTACCAGGGTCCAGCTCCTGGGAAAAGTGCTTTCCAGAATTTGTATTTTAGGGGCGCCTGGCTGGCTCAGACAGTGGAGTAAACAACTCTTGATCTCAGGGTTGTGAGTTTGAACCCCATGTTGGGTGTGAAGAGTACTTAAACATAAAATCTTAAAAAAAAAAAAGAATCTGTACATTTAATCCTCTCAACAAACCCATGAAGTACACATTTGGTGAATGAGGAAACTGGACTCTGGGAGTTAAGCAACTTCGACAGAGTGACGCAGGGAACTGGGTTTTAAACAATTTTTAAAAAAAATTTATTTATTTTTGGGAGAGTGCAAGTGGGGAAGGACAGAGAGAGGGGGACAGAGGATCTGAAGTGGGCTCTGTGCTGACAGGCTGACAGCAGTGAGCCCAGTGTGGGGCTTGGACTCACGAACTGCGAGATCATGACCTGAGCTGAAGTTGGACGCTCATCTGACTGAGCCACCCAGGTGCCCCTTAAACAATTTTTAAGCAATGTTTTTTTACCGGACCTTAAATCCTGTATTCTTTCCACTGTTAACAAGGGGCCGGATGCTAGCCTCCGGTTTCTGAGCTCTGTTAGGTACCTCTCTGTCCCAGACAACTAAATGAAAAGGTGTCGAAAGGGGAGCCCAGATTTAAAAAAAAATTTTTTTTAATGTTTATTTATTTTTGAGACAGAGAGAGACAGAGCATGAACGGGGGAGGGTCAGAGAGAGAGGGAGACACAGAATCCGAAGCAGGCTCCAGGCTCTGAGCTGTCGGCACAGAGCCCAATGCAGGGCTCGAACTCACCGACCGCGAGATCATGACCTGAGCTGAAGTCGGCCGCTTAACCGACTGAGCCACCCAGGCGCCCCGTAGGGGGAGCCCAGATTTGACATTTCCCCACCTGCCAGCTTCTTGACGTCCATCGGGTTGATTTCATTTCCCCTGAAACCACCACCTGCATATGGATGTTGGGGTGAAGAAAGAACAGGCTGGTTCTGCTGCTGATGGTCAGGGTGAACTAAGACAAGTCAATTCTCTCTGGGCCTTGACGTGGCCCGTTGGAAAATGAGGCGATTGTTCTAGATCTGCATTGTCCAGTACGAGAGCCACTAGACACATGGAGCTACTTAACATGAGTTAAAGTGAAACAAAACATTTAGTTCCTCAGTCATAGCAGCCATCTTTCAAGGGTTCAAGAGCCACGCGTGGCTATCACGTTGGACGGTGCAGATACAGAGTGTCTCACACTTGCAGTAAGTTCTTTTGTACCATATGCTGTCCGGGTGAAGATTTTGTTAGCTTTAGCTCGAAAACTCATCACCCCGGTTCTCGGGGGCTCCGTGGAGGAGACTGAAGTTTCAAAGTCACGTCCATCAGAAAAATGCCCCCAGCGGCCCTCAGCCCGAACACTCACTTACCTGCTGTCGCCACTACAGCTGCTGTTGTGATTGGAGTGGTCACTGGTACCTCCTCTGTGACTCAGGGCTGGAAGCAGTCAGGGCTGTCGGACAGGAAAAAGAGTGAAGTGGACTTTATGGGGAAACCTCGAACCTGGAGTTGCCCAGGGTGAATTCCAGGAGGCCCGCCAGGGGGAGAGTTCCCTCGGAGGAATGAGGTCTGTCCGGAGACTCTGACTCCAGGCCCAGGATCCGCCTGGAGATTCTGTGATGAGCGCTGGGGATTTTCATGCCTACCTGAAAGTCTAATGGCTGCTGGAGGAGCCTGCCAGTCTGAAGGTGGAAGTATGCCTAGTCTACCTCTGTCGCTGAGCGTGCGGAAACTGCACCTCCTTCTTTACAAGGAAGATGCGGGCGACCCCGGTCCCCGTGAACAGGCTTGCGTGCCCTGGTTGCACACCTTCTTCCTTCCTTGTAGAGTCAGCGTGAGAAGTGTCCCTCCTTCTCTTTCTGGTAAATTCCTGCACTGTCTGTGGAACACACTGCCTCTCACATCCTCGAGGGTCCTGCCTCCTGGCCTCTCTGCCCCACCCCCCATCCCTTTCCCTGAGCTCACCCTCCCTCTGTCGGAGGACCCCTCCGGCTACCACTCCCCTAGCGCCCTCCTCGCAGGCAGACTTCTGGAGAAAGCGGGGACTGTCTTCACCTCGCCACCTCTTGTTCACCGCTCAGCCCGCTGTAGCTAGCTCCCTTCCCACCGCTCTGCTGACGCAGCTCTTGCCAACATTACCAATGACCTCAGGCCACGGCCTCCAATAAGCCCTTTTCTGAAATCAAGCCACTTTAATATTGGAAAAACAAAGCAGGACTATGGTAAAGAATAGAGGCACCACAGAAGCATCTGAAGTCAAACAGGAAGGACTCTTTCCGTCCTTAGATTCACATATACCTTGTGTCCATCTTTCCAGACTTTTCCCCATGCATATACAAGCATGTTTTCCTTCCTTCCTTCCCTAAAACAAGTGATAGTTAACTACATGTACCATCCTGCACCTTAATAGGCTGTCGCGGACCTATTAACACATCGGTGCATGTAGATCCGTCTTTCTCTTTTCAGTGACAGACACTGGCCCGTGGTGCGGATGTATCACGATTTATTCGATAATTACCTTATGGACGAATATTTAAATTTTGCTACGAGCATCTTTGGGCGCAGGTCTTTGGGAACTTGTATGATTGTATGTGTGACTTAATTATAATTTTGCTGGGTCATATCTGTGCATGTTTAAATTTTGATAAGGCTGTACCAGCTTACGGGGGCTCTACTTACCGTGATGAGCAGGGCGTGATGTACAGAATTGTCCACACCACCGTGTTGTACGCCTGAAAGTAATATAACATTATATGTCAACCATACTTCAAGAAAAAGACTGTATCAATTTATTCTCCCGTTGTCAGTTTACAAAAGGGCCCCTTACCCCATCTACTCATGTCTGCCAATTATGTTAAAATATCCCCCCCCCCACCATTGCATGCCCTGTAACTGTATTTATAGTGAAATGGTTATTGTTCAAGTCTTATTTAACCTCTGTAGCACTTAATCCCCCTGACCTCATTCTTTTTTTATTTCTCCTGCACCTCTCTTCATCTTACTTTGGGGCATTGTTTCTCAATTCATTCCTCAAATCTGGATGTTCCTCTGGGCTCTGCCTGGGTCCTCCTCTCTCCCTGCCCTCCCCAGGCCAGCCCACCTGCCCCCTTTGGCTTCAATGACCACCCAGTAAGGGCCAGGATCTCCCATACCTTTTGCTCCTGACTCGCCTCCTGCACTTCTCGCCTAAGCTCCAACTCCTCACGGGGCCACCTCTTGAAATTTCTGCTGAGGCTCCACAGGTGTTGCAAGCTGAGCAGGTAGAAAACCAGTCTCGTGGAATTCTGACCCCGCCCTCCTAGCCGGGCATCTGCCCAACCGGAACGGCCCGCCCCTCGCACACCCCTGTCTCAGAGGCTATCTCTTTAGCATCTCTTGATTATCGCCATCTTCACTGACAGTGTTAGGCAACACCGCAGTCCTCATGCAATAGCTGTGGATTCTGGAGCTGGACTGTAGACCTTGGGGAGGTTATTTAGTCTCACTGGGTCTCGGTCTCATCATCTGGAAAATGGGGCTGTTGAAAACACCTACTGCATGTTAGAGTGTTGCCATGCAGATTAAATGAGTCTATATTTATAAAGCACTTGGAATGGTGCTTGGCACCGTTTGCTACTGCTGTTCCTACCACTACTAATCACCAATACCACTAGATCACCGTCCCCACCACCACGACAGCTACAACTATTCTCCTAAGTGATCTCGGCCTCAAATCTTTCCCCTTCAAACCATCCTCTACTCTGCTCTCAGGACCATCTTCCAAAAGTGTGAATTTGATCATGTTCTTTTCCTTTTAAAACCCTTGGAGGACCCCCATTGACCTCAGGTAGAGCCCATCTCCCGATTATGGGCAACTGGTGCCCCTGCATGTGACCTTGTGTACTTCTCCAGCTTTGTTGCTGGCCACATCCCCCTGACCCCTTAACTACAGCCACAGGGAACTACTTGCAGTTCCCCAAAGATCTGTTTGGTTCCCCCACAGAGCCTGGCATGCATTTCCCTTCCCCTTGGAAGGTTCTTCCTTACCCTCTTGGTCTGGTCAACTGTCCATTTTCCTTTAAAAAGTTTTTTAAGTTTGGGGTGCCTGGGTGGGTCAGTCAGTTAAGCATCCAACTTCGGCTTGGGTCATGATCTCGCAGTTTGCAAGTTTGAGCCCCATGTTGGGCTCTGTGCCTACAGCTCAGAGCCTGGAGACTGCTTCATAATCTGCGTGTCTCTCTCTCTCTCTCTCTCTCTCTCTCTCTGCCCCTCCCCCTCTTACTCTGTCTGTCTCTTTTTCTCTCTGAAAAGTAAACATTAGAAAATTAAAATTTTTTTTAAAGTTTACTTATTTTCAACGTTTATTTATTTTTGGGACAGAGAGAGACAGAGCATGAATGAGGGAGGGGCAGAGAGAGAGGGAGACACAGAATCAGAAACAGGCTCCAGGCCCCGAGCCATCAGCCCAGAGCCCGACGCGGGGCTTGAACTCACGGACCGCGAGATCGTGACCTGGCTGAAGTCGGACGCTTAACCGGCTGTGCCACCCAGGCGCCCCTAAAGTTTACCTATTTTGAGAGAGAGTGCACACAAGTAGGGTGGGGACAGAGAGAGAATCCCAAGCAGGCTCCACACCATCAGCACAGAGCCTGACGCAGGGCTCGAACTCACAAGCCTTGAGATCGTGACCTGAGTGGAAATCAAGAGTCAGATGCTTAGCTAACTGAGCCACCCAGGCACCTCTCCTTTTCCCTTTTAGATTCAGCCCAGTCATGACCTGTATGGAATGCAGCCCTTTCTGTGTTGTCCACACCCTTAGGCTTACCTCTATCATGGCTTCAGTTAGGGGTTTTGTAATCTCTGGCTGCTCCCTCCTCCCCACTGTGAGGTTCTTCAAAGCAGGGATTTTAGGGGTGCCTGGGTGGCGCAGTCGGTTGAGCGTCCGACTTCAGCCAGGTCACGATCTCGCGGTCCGTGAGTTCGAGCCCCGCGTCGGGCTCTGGGCTGATGGCTCAGAGCCTGGAGCCTGCTTCCGATTCTGTGTCTCCCTCGCTCTCTGCCCCTCCCCCGTTCATGCTCTGTCTCTCTCTGTCCCAAAAATAAATTAAAAAAAAAAAAAACACGTTGAAAAAAAAAAGCAGGGATTTTATATATAATAAGTAATATACATATAAAAATATAAACATAAATAAATATATACAGACTATATATATTATATACATATATATGTATATATATATATATATTTGACAAAGTAGGGGGATTGATGTACATTGGAGGATCTGAATGACATCTAATTGAAAGAAATAATTATGTTGCCAAAATTTCCCACCACATCAATAGCAGTAATAGTCAATAGTCACATCAATAGCAGTAACCCCAAATAGCACTGGCTTAAACCCTCTGTGCTCATTCAGGGCTTCATCCCCCTGTAAGGTATTCTCCAGGAATTTTGAGGGGGTCTGTTGGGAATGTCTCCCGGGCGCTCCTGTGCGTGCTGCTGCGCTAGACACGTGTGCTGGAGTCACTGCTGAAGGACCGGTACCCTTGGTGACCCTTGTGGAACCTTCTGCCAGAGGATTCCCCAAGGTCTAACAAGCTCTTCTAATGTCTTTGTGGAGCTTTTGTGCTCTTCATTGGAGTTGGTGTGGACTCTTTGGGGGGCAGTGTTGAGCTAGAGACTGGTCGTCAGCATAGCCCTTCCATCCCACCCAAACGGGGAGAAGGTCAAGCTGCCCCATTTCTGGCCCCTGATTTCCTTCTGATGAGTTCTTGTCCAGGAGCATCTTGCCTTCTCTTTGAACATTGGCTTCTGCTACCTCTCTTCCCTCCCATCAGTTCATCAGGCAGGCCTGAACTTGACACTGGAGTTCAACTAGAACATGATGTCGTCCACTATAGTAAGAACCTAATAAAAGTATCTGAGCAAATCTAATCCTTAACAAGGGATCGCTGTCCTTTAGGGTAGGGGTGGTTCTATTGCCCTGATTGCTCCAGAGCCCCAGCCCTGCCCCCCTCCACTCCCTCCATTCCGTGCCCCTCACCTTGTTGTAGCTTTTGCTAAGGAGAAGTTCTTACCAGCTCTCCAGGGCAGGAACTGCTATTGCAAAACTCTTGCTCCATGCTATGGTAATGGGATGCAACTCTGGGTGTCCCTGACCCCAAGAGGCGGTCCACAGGCGCTGGTCAGAGCCACAAGGTTGCCCAACTGCTGCAGAGGCTCTGGCAGTCTGTGTGAGGCAGAGGGGATGGGGATAATAGCACGCATGCCTATTTGGGGCCACAGAGTCTGCCCTGGAGCCCAGATAGGGCAGCTAATCCCTATCTGGTACAGAGTGGGGCCTGTGCTTCTTCTGAAACAGTATCCTCAGAAGCACCACAATTGGGAGTCCAGGGAATGACACAGAATTTGTGTAAGACTTCTTGGGCAGTCAGGGGATATGGTCTTGTACCATGAAGGTACACAAATCCTCATAACTATCTTTACTAAAGTTTAGTTGAGTGAGCACTGCATAGAGAGTTACCTAGTCTCAGCTCCTCTGTCCAGGCACTCACAACTGGGGACTGACCAAGTCACCACAGTGGTTGGAAGGGCAGGACAGAGAGGCCCAAGCCTCATGTCTGAGCCTCCTCTCCTGCCCACTAAACCAGATGCTCTGCGAAGCGGCTGGCCCTCCCACACACTGCTGGTGGGAGGGGCCAACACACAACTCTTTTGGGAACAACTCAGCAGTTTCTTAAAAGTTAAACATATACTTATCACATGACCTGGCAATTTCATTCCTAGGTATTTACCCAAGAGAAATAAAAGCAAAGGTCTAGGGGCACCTGGCTGGCTCAGTGGATAGAGCATGCAACTCTTGATCTTGGAATTGTGAGTTTAAGCCCCACATTGGGTGTACAGATTACTTTAAAAAACAAAAATCTTAAAAAAAAAAGTAAACGTCTATGCAAAGATTTGTACACAGATGGTTATAGGAAATGTATTTGTAACAGTCTCAAACTGGAAATAATCCAAATGTCAGGCAACAGTTGCATGTGTAAACAAATTGTGGTATATCCATGTAGTGGAATACTACTCAATAGTAAAAAGGGACTATTGAAGGCAGACAATAGAGAGTGTATAATTAGGATTCCATTTATATAAAATTCTGGAAAACTAGTCTCCAGTGATAGAAAGCAAATAAGTGGGTGCCGGGGAGAGAGGAGAGGAGGGAGAGGTTACAAAGGGCATGAAGAAATTTGGGGAATGATGGGAATGATGTTCATTATTTTGAGTATGGCGATGGTGTCATGGGTATATATTAAAGTGAAAACTCATCAAATTGTACAATTTATGTGAAGTGTGTTAAATGTCAATAGTTGGGGCGCCTGGGTGGCGCAGTCGGTTAAGCTTCCGACTTCAGCCAGGTCACGATCTCGCGGTCCGTGAGTTCGAGCCCCGCGTCAAGCTCTGGGCTGATGGCTCAGAGCCTGGAGCCTGCTTCCCATTCTGTGTCTCCCTCTCTCTCTGCCCCTCCCCCGTTCATGCTCTCTCTCTGTCCCCAAAATAAATAAACGTTGAAAAAAAAATTAAAAAAAAATGTCAATAGTAACTCAGGAAAGATGTTAAAGACAAAAACACAACAAAAGCAGACCTTCAAAGCAGACAGGATGCTCCTGAGTGTGGTGAGCAGTGGGCTGGGTGAGGTGGGAGTGTGGGAAATGTCAGGGTCCCTGGGTCTTCTTCTTGGTCAAGGACATTCTGAGCCTGGAGGAACTTTAGAGAGGACGGTGCCCAGCTCCCTCACTTACAGAAGAAGCCCAGACAGCTGTGAGCTCTCTCAAGTCGCCCAGCTCATGGATGGTGGATGCAGGGCTTCAACCTGCCTCCTGCCTGCCAGCCTGGCTCCTTCCACTCCCACACTACAGAATGCGCACACAAGTGCTGTCTGCCTTAGGTCACCAACTTCCAGAAGGCAGGACAGGTCAGACCAGAGGGGTGGGAAGGGCAGAGGGGAGGGAGCTGACGGGATGGGGTGGGTGGCCATTCTTGGGTGATCTCATTGGTCGAACTGAGCTGCTCCCTTCTGGGAGCAGGGTGGGCAGTGGTGCCCTCTCTTCTTGTAATCCACAGAGCAGGCATGGCAAACCAGGCCTCCGCAGAGCCTAGGAGCAGAGGTGGGAAGAGTGGGGAGCTCAGGGATGTGTTTGGGGGAGGGAAGCATGTTTCTCATCTCCCATCAGAGCAGTGTGTCTCAGGAGGCCTCCCCTTTCCTAAAGGGCGTCCCAGTGCCCCACCCCCTCCAGAGTCCTCTAAATGGCAATGACAGGTTCTCCTGCTGGCCCCCCTCCCTCTCTCTCATGGCTGGTCCTGCCACCATGTTCCTGGAGGAAGATGAGGGGAGCAGCTTCCTCTGTACAGGAGATCTCTCCCAGACCAGGAGCCTGTTAATCAGTCTCTTCTTGGAAGGCTGGCACAGTCCCATCTTCCAGACACTGTTGCTTGTCTGACTCCTTTCCACTGTTCTAGCTCATGTCTATGCTAAGTGTTGTGTAAAGTGAATGGCCAGCTTTACGTGGCTCTCATGAAAGCCCAGTTCCTGTGACACCTCCCTTCCCAGAGAGGGTAGAGTGCTGTGGGCTGGTGGAAGCAGGGCTGTCCCAGAGGAAAAATTCTGTGCTTTCCCATTACCTGCATGGGTACCGCCGAGACAGCCGGCCAAAGACCTTGCTGCAGTCAACACAGCATCCGGGGGCCATGGAAGAGAGATGCTGGACCTTCTGCCACAGGTCATCCTTCTCTCTGATGAGTGGATGGAGGTGGGGACACACACACACACACACACACACACACACACACACACACACCCCAGGAGGATGGAGATGACACAGGTAGAGATACCGAGACCGGGAGAAAGAGAAACACAGAGACCAAAGGAAGAGCGAGAAAGAGAGAGAGACAGAGAGAGAGAGTCATACAGAGATACACACACACAGAAACAAGAAAAGGAAGTCAGGGGGTTGGAGAGGGAGACAGAGACAGAGTGGTAGGTAGGGAGATAAATGTAGAGAGAGAGGGAAAGGCCAGGAGAAAAAGATGTGGAGACAGTCAGGGACAGAGGCAGAGAGGGAGAGAAAAATACAGAGAAAGACGGAGAGAGAGACATAGTGACAGAGAAGGAAAGAAATGAAGAGATCATGAGACACACACACACACACACATAAGAGGTGAATGAGTCTGCAGTCTTTGGGAAGATGGATGGTGACACCCCAGTCCCCTCCCCCAATACAACCTCGATCCATTATTTAAGAACCTTCATATCCCACCTCCTCCAAGGAGTGTTCCCTGATCATAGAAGCCCCCATAAGTTTCTTACGATGCCCTTATCTTTTATTTGGCACTTGATACAACCCCCCTTGTATTTATGTATGTTATACTCCTGCAAAACTATCTTTACTGTTGTTTTTTTTTTTTAAGGATGTTTAGGAATGTGGGTTTAAAGTTTTTTTTTTATCAAGATGATATATACACACGATTTAAAAATCCAACAGTGCAGAAGAACTTATATCAAAAGGAAATAGACACCTTCCCTACTCCTTCCATTCTCAATGGCAAACCACCTCTTACACTTGTCGCTTTTCTCTTTGATATTACTTCCACACTTAAGTAATATGCTCATATCCTCTTTTTTTTTTAATATATCAAGAGAGAACATCTACAGAGCTCCTTACCTTGATGTCAGAGGACTTAGCTTGTTTATTACCATCCCCGCTGAACTCCACCTCCTTCCTCCCCATGCGGTTATATCCCTATTTTTGGTTCCTCTATTACTACTGTAGTTTTACAGAATATACTCACACATTTATTTCTCACTCATTCTGTGGAGCACAGATAGCATCCTGACTGCCATTCTGTAATATGATGATACCAGCATCACTTCCTCTTCGGTTGGCCTCCTTCATCCACCTCCTACTTGTTATCTATTCCTGCTATGTCCAATATGGTAGCCACTAGCCACATGGGGCTACTTAACTTTATATTTCATTTAACTAAAATTAACTAAAATTAGAACTTCAGTTCCTCTGTCACATCAGACACATTTGTGGTACTCGGTCACTACATGTGACTGGTAGCTGCTGTATTGGACAGGGCGAGTATAGAACATTTCCATCTTCACAGAAATTTCTATTGGCTTCTATTTTGTGTACTTAATGTTGTTTAGGTAATAACATTTACATTTGTTCTATAATCACAATTGTTTACTGTGCTTTGTCTTTAGGTTGATTCTAACATTGAAAAAACCAATAAATAGTATTTATATTATTAGAAAATATATAAGCATATTGCTTCAAGGAGAGCTAAGATGTGTTCTAAACATTTCCTTGGAAATTTTTTGTTTTTCCAGGACTTTTTAATTGCCTTTCTTTGCTCCTTGCAAAGTCCTTGCATGACTTGCCTTTAACACAGCCTAACCCTCTCCTCAACAAATTCTTCATCATATCAGGTATGGCATTGATTCTCTTTTTCCCCTGAGACCTTCCTCCTCAGTACTTCTGTTTCAGCCTGGATGTACTGCTCCTTGGGTTTGCCAGCCACTTGTCATCTTGGAAATTCCCTTTTCTTCTCTCCCGGGCTAGAGCTACTGTTTCCTGAATTCCACATCTTCTCCTTTCTTGGTAAGCCAAGCTTACTTCCTTGTTTTTCCGAAGCACATCCTTAATTAACTTCCCAAGAAGGGCCCTGTGGGAGGTAAATTTTCTATAGCCTGTCTTTCTGAAAAATGTCTTTTCCCATATCACCTTCTCTACTTGTTTTATAGTTTGGCTGGATCTAGAATTCTAGGGCAAAAGTTAGCTTTCCTCAGAACTTGAAAGTATTGCACCATTGATTCTTAACATGTTTTTCTGTGTCCTACTTCCTTTATAGGTGACGTGTCTTTGAGTATATTGTCCTCATCTTTGTTTTATGGCGATTTCACAACAGTGTATCTCAATGTGGGTTTTGCTCCCTTTCACTTATTGTGCTGGTCACTCAGTGAAATCTTTACATCTGAAGATCTGCAACCATTAGAGCCTGGAAAGTCTCTCATACTTTTATCTGATATTCTCTCTCTCTCTCTCTCTCTCTCTCTCTCTCTTTTGAATTCTTATCAGTTGGAGAAGAGATAGTGAGATAGTGAATCTCCTGGAATGATTCTTTGTGTTTCTAACTATCTCTTTCATGTATTCCATCTTTTTATGCCTTTTATTCTACATTTTGAGAGATAGCCTCCTCTTCCTTTTCCCATCCTCGAGTTAAAATTTCAGAGATATTTTTAATTTCCAAGAACATTTCTCATCTTTTGTAGGTCACTTTTCACATTATCCTGTTGCATAAGAGACCAATCTTTTTTGTTTACCTTTGTCTCTGCTTCTATGTTCTAGACTCTTCTCAAACATCTGAGGATCCATGGTCATGATTTCATGTTTAAGCTGCTGGAGCTTCAACAGTGGACAGGGGTGGTTGACTTGTGGCTTCTCTTTAGGAAGGATGGGGCAGGAAGCTAACTGCTGCATCAGACTGTCAAATGCCAGAACACACTGTTGTTTATTTGGGGCATTTAACTTTGTTTAGAGAAGGAAGTTTTAATTATTTGCCTGGGAGATAGACCCCTCAGGGTTGATATTCTGAAGTTGGGGAAGCAGGCTGAAAGCAGGAGGTTTACACTGATGTTTCCAATGACTTTATCGGTCAATATTCCTGATTGCTGTCCCTTATCTCATTTCTGCCATCTGTGTTCCTAGTGTCTCTGGTCCCTGAAGTTCTAACTTGGGCTAAATCCGGTCTCTACTTCTTCATCCATTTTCTGGCTTCTGGAAATTAGCTGAAATCTCTTATCTGTGGTTGGCTCCTCCACCTTTCTCTCTATTAGAAGTTTTATTTATTTATTTATTTATTTATTTATTTATTTATTTATTTATTTATTTTTTACAATCATTCTACTGAGATCTCAGGATGGAAAGCAGATGATGTGTTGTCTACCATCTTGATGCAGAAATCAGCCTCTATAGCTTGCCTGCCCACTTTGTGCTCAGGGCCATATTTTCCATGATGCTTCTGCAAGGGACATTATATTATGTATCTTGGGATCTTGTGATGAGTTTCTTTAACACAGGAAAAAAAATTTTCTTTCCTGATGAACTGGTATATTTCCTTGGAATGCATAGTGACATTTAGGCAACTTACTGTGTTTCCATTTTTGATTCTGCCAAGATGCTCAGAGCTAAGTTTTAACCCTAATCCTAATCCCTCAAAAGTATGAATGTTTCCTCTTCCATTTCATCTATTTTTCTTAACAATCATATGTATATGTCTTTTATTGTTGGCTACCTTAAATTCTTTTGTGAGATACATGGCTAATTTTTTATATCTCCCTTTTTCCCCATTGACAGCTCTGTAGAGGAGGTCATTCTTAAATTCTTTGTTTGTTCTTTCCAGGTTGACTTCTCCCTTCTCTCATCTTTAATATCACTTGGATTTTTTGCAAGAGGATTTAGTCCTGGATGATCCCTCAGTGACCCTCCAATTCTAATGAAACCCAAGTCCAATGCTGTCCTGCTTCCTGAACTGGGTCAAAGTATAGCATTAGTTCCCTACTAGACTGAAGGGCAGAAACCAGGCTTTACACACCTCCTCCATTGCTCAGTGGTTTAGTGGTTTGGAATCCATCCTGGTGAGCTCTCTGGTACCTAGGGCAGCTGACCTGGGATGGCCCACAGGCCCAGTGGTCTCAGGAAGTCTACCAGGCAGTCAGGGGTAGCACATATGATTACCTCTTGGTTAACCTCCCTTTTTCTTCTCTCAAATCCTTCTCCATCTATGGGCTCTTTTCCCTTCCCCTAACCTTAGTAGGTATGTGTGTATGTGGGGCTGTGTTGGAGTGGTGGTGTGCCTTAGAGCTAGAGGAATCCATGCAATTATATGCGGTGTGTCCTTGGTGTCCAAGTCAGCGTCTCTGACCCTCAGTTTCCTCATCTGTGATATGAGGAGAACAGCTGGGGTGGCTAAAAGAAGATGAGTTAGCATATATTAAAGTTCTGCTCGACAGTTCTCAGCGGAGTAGAATTTTCATCACCCAGTCTCTACATTCCATATCATCCCCTCCTCTGCAGTCCTGCCCTGCTGTGTCCACCCTTACTGAATCAGTTCCAGCACCCTCATCTTCATGGCGTGGACCAGGTCCCGCTGCCCTCCAAGCTCCTTCTCATACATGGCGTCCCTCCTCTCAGCCTCCTGCTGATTCTGCTCCAGCTCTGTCTGCAGCCGGGCCCTCTCTTCCTGACACCTGGGCACAGAAGGAAGACTCAGTTCCCAGCATCTGTGACCAAGCTAGGCTGGGCCTCTACCTGACAGGGAGCTCCTGGGGGAAGCTGGTGGTACCTCCTATAGCTGATGCGCGCGCGCACACACACACACACACACACACACACACACTCCCTTCCACACACACACACTGCATACATTCTCCATACCCCCGCGCCCTCCCACACCACACATACTCACACACACATAAAACACGCCATACCACACACCAAGCTGAACACCACGGATAGCATGCCATCTATAGGCTGACTCCTTACCAACCGTCCAGAGGAATGAAAACAGGGTATAGCCTCCTGTGTTTCTTTAGAGAAGGTGAGCTAACATCTCCATTGGTTGTATTTCTTTTCTTTCCTTTTTTAACATTTCCATCTTAAAATGTAATTTTCTTGAAAGGCATGCCCACGATTGCAGCAGCTCTCTGGAGGGAAGGGGGGTATCTGGCAACCCAGGCTGTATGGGCTTTGCCCAGCTGAGAACAACAGTTGGTTTGGGAGTGGGGTAACTGGTGGAGGACTTAGGGGGATATTTTTAGGTTTTAAAATATTTTGAAAAATTATGGTACATCGTCTTTTCAATTAAGAAAATAATGTTAAACATATGGCTTCCTTAAATTTTTGTTTCAGTTTGGGCTTAGAATGTCCTCAGCTCTATTCTTGCCTCTTTTTTTTTGTCTTTGGTGGCTTCTTAGAAGGTTCCAAGAAATCTGCTGCACTAGAAATAAGAAAGTCCCAGCCCCGCCCTCCATCACTCAGATGAGGAGGGTGTTGCAAAGGTGGGTGCACATCCTGTGACCTCAGGGTGTGTGTGTGGGGGGTGTGTGTGTGCGCACGCACACACACACACGCACGGCCACACCCCTGGGCTTCAGTGTGTTTGAGACTCGCAGGAGGCTTGCCAATGAACTGAATTATGAATTTTTACAACACTGCCGTGTAGCACACCTCAGAGAAGAAAGCTGGGTAGGCTGTAAAGTCAAACTGACAACAGAGATCCACCATAATTCCAAAAAGACCAGTCCCTGCAGCTTTAAGGAAGGGTGTTCTTGTGCTTGGGCACTGGACCAGGGCTGTGTTTATTTTAATGAACATCTTGGCCTTCAGTGTCCTTGTTTCTTAATATTGGTATTTGATTTTCCTGAGCTAGTTTACTTGCACACTGATCCCAGGGCCTTTGGTGTGGCCAGTGCAGGTCCCAATGTGAAAACTGTGGTTAGTGTGTGTCTTTGAGGTGGGAGGGAACACTTATTAAGCACCATCTGTGTGCCAATGGCTGTTTGAGGTGCCAGGAATACAGCAGTGCCTACGGCTCCTGGTGGAGCTTATAGTGTGTTGGGGACAGTGGTCAAAACAAGTGATAAACCAATAGCATAATTAAGCTAAGTGTGTGACAGAGATAAATGAGGGGTGGATAGAGGCTCGAGAGGGTGTTCAGGAAAGGCTTCTTAGACAAGGTGACCTTTAAGCAGATGTAAGAGATGAGAAGTCAGCCAAGCAGAGCCAGCGAAGGTCACATGGAAAGGTCTGCAAGTTGGCAAGAACTTGCTTGTTTGAGGAACTGAAAGAAGACTAGGGAAGCTGGGATACCATGAAGTTGCAGGAGGTGGGGGTAGGCAAGAGATGAGGTGGAAAGGGGCAGGGCTGTCTCCCTCACTGGCCCCAGGAGGAGTGGACTTGAACCTCAGTGCATTGGGAAGCCACTGAAGTATTTCCAGCAGGGGCTGACAGACACTCCTGGTGCAGGAGAGGACACGGGAGGAATTAAAGTCTAGAGCACCTGTTACACGCCAGCCCCCGGGGCTTAGTGCTTTATGCCCTATTTCATTTAATTTTCACAAATATGGCAGACAGGTGATATGGTCATAATTTTACAGGAAAGAAAATAGAGCTTCAGAGAGGAAATAACACTTGCCCAGGGTCACACTGTTTGATATGTGGAGGGAGAAGAAAACTGGACGCAGGCCTGTTGGGCCATAAGCTCTATTGGCCTCCCCACCTGGCCTCCCCATACTTTTGTCCGTGCAGGGCCTGGTCGCCAGTGGTTTATGGCACAAGTGCTGAGTGGGCAGCAGGTGGGAGCAAGGGATAGATCCTCATGAGCCCCTGGTGTGCCCCAAAGGAGCTCAATGGGGGGCGGGGTGGGGAGAAGTGTTATGTCTGCCTAATTCTGTCTGAGGACCTCTTCCACTTATACTTGCCCTAAGCACTTTTGCTTTGAGGTCTTATCCAGGGGCAGAGGAAACCTACCTACTTGGAAAGATGGTCCCACAGAGCATCTGAGCTGGAAGGAGGAACTTTGGAGATCCAACTGTCTCCTTTTGCAAATCAAGGATCAGAGGCCAGAGAGGGAAGGCCAATTTCTCAAGGTACCACAGCCAGAAAGCTAGGAAGTGGGTACTAGGTGCCCCACAGCTCAGTTCCAACTGTGTTTTCATAGCCCCTGGTTGGTCTGCTAAGGCCTGAGGCCAGGCTTAGCTGGCCCACTGTGTCTTCCCTATGTGTCCAGCCTGGGGCTCTGTGCCCAAAGGGCTCTAGCCTGCCCACCTTCTGTCTATTCTCCACACCACGGACAAAGTAGTCCTGAAACCCATGGGGCTCTCCACTTCCTGCTCAAGACTCTGTTCCAGCCTTCCATAGCACAGGGAGTCTCTGTCCACTCCAGCCACATGGGCTTGCTTGATTCCAAGTGCACTTCTGGGATTTTGCCTTTGCTGGCGCTCCTGCCTGGAGCACTCCTCCCACGGTCTTTGCACGGTCATTTTCCCAGTGGCTGGGGTTTCTCCTCAACTGTCACCTCCTCAGAGAGGAACCCCATGACTCTAAATCTAGGTGAATTTGCGTGACTCTAAATCTCCTGTCTCTGTCCCCTTCCCTGGACTGATTTTTTTAACAGCGCCCATGACTACCTGACATCCTATTCCTATTTGTTGATCTAGTGTCTGTGTCCCCAAGTCTGTGAGAGCAGACACTGACTGTTCTATTCACTGCTGTCACCATGCTCATGGCCACAGGAGAGTCACAATATACTATCTGCTGACCGAGTGGGCTCCCTGGCACTTCAGTCCGGCGGTAGTGAAACAGTCGCCCCCAGCTTGATGCCCATGGCCCCTTTCCCCTGGAGTGATGTGCTCCTCCTGAGTCCCTGGATCCCAGGAGGATCCCTCCTGGCCACAGGAGCTTCTGTCCTGCTATCTGCATTCTGACGACTCTCCCGCAGATCCCCAGCCCAGGCTTCTCTGAGCTCCACACTCAGCTGTCTGCTCAACAGCTCCACTGGCATGCCTAAGGGGTGTCTCAGACTTGGCATGCTCTCCCCTCAACTCCTGAACTTTCCCCACAAGCGAGCCCTGCCACAGCACACCATCAGCTGTGACTCTAGCTTTCCAGCTGGTCAGGCTGGAAAATGAGTCATTCCTGACTCTGTCTTTCCCTCTCCCCCCAGGAAGCCCCAGCTCACGGTGAATCCAGAATCTCGCAGCTTCTCTGCACCTCCACGACCAGAGAGCATTCAGAGGCACCCCTGCCCTCCCCTTCCTCATCGCTGTCCCTGCTTCCACCTTGGTTCCTTACAGACTAGCTCCACAGAGCTCGAGCCCTTGAAAGCACAGATCAGTCCAGAATAGGCACATCTATGGGGACAAATCAGCAGTTGCCTAGGGCTGGGGGGTTGGAAGGAAGTGGGCAGTGGATGCTAATGGTACAGGGTTTCTCTTTGGGCTGATTAAAATGTCCTAAAACTGATTGTGGTGATGGATGCACAATTTCATGAATACACTAAAACCCACTGAATTGTTAAAAAAAAAAATGCAAACCTACTTAACCTTAAAGCAAATAGTCACATCTCCCTCTGCTCTGAACTCTCAGTGGCTCCTATCTCACTCCGAGTCAATGCCAAGGTCCTTTTGATGACCTGTGGTCTCCTGTTACCCAGCTGACCTCCCCCACCTCCTCTCCCTCCTCTACTCCCCTGAACCTCCGTGATATTCCTAGGACCTGCCATGCCCATTCCTGCCTCAGGGCCCTTGCTCTTCCTCTGCCTGGAATGTTCTACCACATGCCCAAACAGCCCATTCCTCATTTGCTTCAAATTTTTAACTCAAATATCACTTTTTCAGGGAGGCCTTCCCTGGCTGTGTCGCCTCATTTAATATCACCCCGACACTTCCATTCGCTGCTTTATTTTTATCTTCCTAGAACTTGTCACATCTGACATCCTATGTAATTAACCTGCTTATCGTGTTTACAGATTGCTTTCTGCACTAGAAGGTAAGCTCCACAAGGATAGGCATTTGGTCTGTTTTGTCCGCAAGAGGATTTCTGGCACACAGAACAGGCCTGGCGCAGCTCTGAGTATCTGTGGATAATGGACTGGATGACAGGTGGAGAAGAGTCGGGGCTCCCCCAGCTGAGGGAGCAGCCTGGGCCTGGTTGTCTCCTTGGAGCCTCCCAGCTGCTTCCTCCAGCCTGTCTGGATTCCCAGAGAAGGCCTCTGGGTGGGCAAGGCCTCTGCATTCACCTAGGGCCTGAATCATGGGAATCCTTGCTGACCAAACCGCCAGGCTCAGCTGAGTGTCTGGTGGGAGGAGCCCCTGGGGGCCTTTTTGGGTTGGTTTCTGGGCCTATAGTGTCTCTCAGCCTTTGAAACAAAGAGTCAGTAAACCGCTCCATGATTCAGTCTGAATCACAGCTACCCAGGCTCTGATGGGGTTTAGGCTGGTGCCTCTGGCCCTGGGGCAGGTGTCAGCCATGTGCAAGAGTCAGGGGCAGGTGAACTGACTGGGGCACACAGAGCTAAGGGAGAGAGGGACAGAGAGACCAAGTCAGACCAAGGAAGATCTTTGCATAGCAGAGGTATTTTTTAAAATTATGAAAGAGAAACTCGGACACTGAGAAAGTGTTCTCTGGGCCCTTGCAGTTAATGTAATGACAGGAAGTTGGAGAAGGTGGAGGTAAGAGTAGCTGAGGGGGAGGCAGAATGAAATAAATACAGGCACTCAAAATATTGGCGGAGGGCCCGTCTTTAAGCCCACAGGTTCTGGAATCATCTACCAGGGTGTAGACCTCAGCTCCTCCACTAGTGACACTGGGTGAATTGTGTGGCACCTTTAAGCCTCAGTTTTCCTATCTATACAATGGAAATTCTTAGAGAACTTATCTTATAAGTGTGTTGGGAAGAAACGCCTAGAACAGTGCCGGGGACATAGTAAACGCTCAGTACATGATAGTTACGATGATGATTATGCATTAAGAGAGTGAAAGAAGACTGTGCAACAGGGAACAGGAAAATGAGAGACAGAGGACAAGAGGAAAGGTGGACACTGAAGGGGCAGGAGTGTGGAGGGGCGGGGAGGGAGACTGGGAGAGAGGGGAATGGCAGTGGAAGAGGCAGCAGAGAGATAAAGGTGAGTGTGGGAGGGGAGGGAGGGACAGGAGGCATGCACCCCTCCTGCAGGCTGTTGGGAAGGCCGGTGAGGGAGGGTCTGCCAAGGGGAGGGGAGGGGTCGGTGGGAGCTCCTCCAGGAGCCCCAGGAGTAGTGCCCTGAATGCCTCAGTGTCCCAAAGCTGTGCCCAGCACAGGGCCTGGTGTACCAGAGATGCTCAGAAGCCGCTTGCTGGTGTGGCCATGAAGGCGAGTGGGCGCCTCCTGTCCTGCTGGCCTCTGCTGCCCACCTGGCAGCAGTTGCCAAGGTTACCTGCTGAGCATCTCCTGTAGTGTCCGCAGCTCCCCTTCCTTCTCCTTCAGCAGCTGCTCCTGGTGCTGCGCCCGCTCCTCGGTCTTCCGGAGCCCACATCTCAGGCTCTTGGGGGTGGGAAGGAAAGGAAAGGAAAGGGAAGCTGAAGGAGGAGGGCAGAGATCCCAGCCCCGGGTGTGACCTGACAAACATCCCCATGAGACCCCAGGGCCATGCGAGATAGCCCTTGGGTGGAGGGCTGGACTGAGGACAGCACTGGGAGCTGAGAAACCCGGCTCTGCCTGCCGCTGGGAGAGGATGATGATCACAATTCAAGAGAGTGAGAGGGGACTGTGCAACAGGAACAGGAAAATGAGAGAGGAACAGGTGAAAGATTTCTTCCTTTGCTGAAGGATGAAAGTTACAGAGCTCAAGGATACAAAGAAGGCGGAAGGAAGGCTTGAAATTGATCTTGGGGATCTCCAGGAGAAACATCTACAACCAGAGCTGCTTGGTGGGATGTGCAGCAGCAGAACTTAGACATTGGTGGGAAATCTGCCAATAATGAGGGCTACTGAACTTGAGAACCTGTCATTGCCCCCAGAGAACTCTTGGGGGAGGGGGGGGTCTCAGACTCCAGGGCCTGCAGGAGCCAGGCAGGTAGTACTGGTGAATAAAGTGGGCTTGCCGTGAGGCCGTAGGGAGAGGCAGGGACTGTGGTGACCTGAAGAAGACCTTCTCAGAGAATAATAACCCTGTGCAGACCAGTCAGAATTATCTGTGGGCTGGAACGCACCCCTCCCCCCGCACCACTGAAGACTCCCACCTGGGGGCCAGGTTAGAGAGGGGAAAGGAGACAGGTACAGAGCTCAACTGCTCTCACCTTGACCACATCCTGCAAGGCCACTTCTGCTTGCTCCTTCCTCCTGGTCACACTGGTCTCTCCTGTTTCCTCTTGTGGTTTCTCTGGGGTGAAGTCTTCCTTTGTTCCCAGGCCCCAAAGGACCCCGGGCTCCCCTGGAATGCTAGGCACCTCCCACTCCTGCTGGTTCCCTGACATTGTGTCCTCTATTGTCCCTGTAGGGCTGGAGGCCAGTAGCCTATGGGCATGACCCTGCTCTGCTCCACCTTCATGAGTCCCCTCCGCACTGGGAAGAATCCTTCTGCCCTTGGCCTCTGTGCCTATCACCTCCTTTGGAGCCCTCTCAGACCCATCTCCCTGTCCCTGGATGCTGGGTGTTGAAATCTCCAGGCAGATCCCAGTTCTTGGGGCTCCTTTCTCCTGGGCTTGCTGAAGTTCCTCCCCTGCTGGTTCCCACATGCCCTGGGAGGACCCGAGGCTCCTGGGATCTTCTCTTTTCTTTTCCAAAAAGAGAAGAAGGTGCCTTTGTTGCTGGGACCTGGGGAGTCCGGCCAACCAGTCTTCCCTGGGTGCATCTTGCAGACAGCTGGTTTGGCTAGTGTGCAGCTCCTCTGGCTGGACTGCTGTGGGGTTTCCACGTGTGGCTGAGATCTGCAGAGAAGCCCCAAAGCCATCACTGCTCTCAGCACCAATTTGCCAACCAGGTGGGTGGGAGAGGCCACAGACCTAATCCAAGGAACTTACTAAATCTAAAGGAATATTGATTCAGGGCCCAGGAATCGGAATGTTAACATCACCCCAGGTGGAGGGGAGGCCCCAGCTTTGATCCTGGTCAGGGAGCAGTAGTGCTTCTCAGTGCTCTTTTCTGTGGGCGCCCCCCCCCTCCCTGCCTCCCCTGCGTCTTCTGGAGCGATCTGGTTTCTACTTCCCACCCTCTCCTCTGACCCTGCCCCCTGAAATTCTCTGGGTCTCAGTTTTCTTGTCTGTAAAATGGGAATAATAACGCCTGCCTTGCAGAGTTGTGAAAGCTTAAACAGACCGACAGCAGCTAAGGGTCACCTCTCCTGAGAAGCCGTCTCCAGGCTCCCCTGTTCCTCCGTGCACGGCTGCATCACCGCACTTAACAGGTGGCGTTGCAGTGTGTTCCCCCTTCTGGGCACAGGCTGAGTCCTCGCGGTATCCGTACCTGGTGCTAGGAAGCTGGTGGAGTGTAGAATGAGACTGGGGAATGACAATGGCCATGAGCTACCACTGACGGAGCACGTGGCCAGGGGCCTTGCTCTGTGCTACACGCAGGCTGTCTCTACACTTCCTCACAATCACCCTGCAAGGCAGGGCAAGTGCCTTGCCAAGGGCCTTGGTTATTAGGGGCAGAGCTGGGATTTGAACCCAGAAACCTGACTCTTCAATCTCTCCAACTGAATGAACTGAGACGTTTGCAAATTGTCCAACGGAGATTGTTTCCTTGGTGTGCATCCTACACGCTTCCGGTTACCCTCCCCACCGCCTCCTCCTCTCCTGGGCCCCATGGCTCCCGCCGATGGTGCCAGTGGCCCCCTTCTCTCCCCGATATCCTCACCACCTTAGGACTACGAGCCCTTTCTTGTCCTGTGGCTACCCAGTCCCCAGGTCTACATGCCGGCCTCTCTGTCTGTCTGTCTGTCTCCTCAGCTACTGCCTATCCTGTGGGGCCCAGCAGAGGCGGAGAAGAGGCAAATCAGAATGAAGTTGGGCAGAGGCACCTGCTTTGGGGAGTCTTTGGTCTTTCTGGGTCTTCTTCCCTGGCTCCGGCTGGGGCAGCAAGACCTGCAAGGGAAGGTGGCAGGGGGACCACGGGCCTCTTTCCAGCAGTGGGCGTGGTGCTCAGCAGCAGGACATCCCACCTCTCCACCCACCCACTCATTTCGCTTCCGCTCCCGCCTTCCCTCCTCCCCACCCTTCCATCCTCATGTGTGCATCCCCCTCTCCATCCATCCACGAGCCTTGCCCACCACTCGTCCTAACAGCCACCATACGCTCGTCCTTCGAACCCTCCACCCCAACCATCCAACGACTCTTCAGGGAGTGTGCGGTCTATGCAGCATCATGTGACAGGACAGATCGTGCCGGGAAAATAGAAGTCTGGGGAGGTGGAGAATCAGAGGCTCAGACAGCGAGGAAGGAAGAACTGATGGGACTGGAGGCTGAGTTTGGAACTTGCTTGGGATGCGTGGTGGTCAAATGGCAGGAATGCACTGAAGAGAGGCTTCCCTTCAAGCTAGACGCACTCACTCTGAGAACATGGGCCAGGCTTCATCTAGGTCCGGCCACCGCAGGTTCAAGTCGAAGGTCACTCCATTGAGAGCATAGAGAGAATCCAGGAGGTCTTCCCGGAGTTCAGGGCACACCAGAGGGCTCCGGGGGCCATACCATTCCCTGTGTTATCGGTAATCAGCAGACTTGGCCTTTGGTAATTGGCCTTGGTGCTGTGGCCGCCCCCGCCCCCAGGGGATCTTCCTCTGCTATACACCACCATGGGATGGTTCCCCCAAGCAGGGCTGTGGCCCTTGGGGAGCAAGAGGCTTAAGCATCATGGTGCTACGAGGACTCCTGGGTTCTGACGCCCCCTCTGCCCTTTCTTCCTGGACTTTTCCCTCATGGCTGTCATTTTAGTTGTCCTTGATATTAACCCATCCATCTGGGGGGCAAAGAGGCATCTTTCACAAGGAACAGACAGTAGACTCAGAGGGTGTCAGTAGGATCATGTCCCAACAGCCCCACCTGGTGAGCTTGGGGTTCAGAAGGCAGAGCTGCAGGGACTCGGCCAGCTGTCCGTGGGCTAGGCAGAAGCGGATGAAGGCACGGCCTTTTGCTAGAGAAGTCTTCAACTGCAGGGTGCACAGGGGGCGAAATGGTGGGGAAGAGGTGGGGAGGTGGGGGCCTGGTGTGGTATTAGATCAGAGGGAAGTCGGCCAGGACAGAGAGACAGGATAGGGACCCGTGCTGTTTGCGAACGAAAGGGGTGGCTGGAGGGCTGCTGAGGGCAGGGCTAATGAGACACGAGGGCCGGGTGAGGGGTCTGTGGTCAGTGGAACAGGCATGGGTGGGAGAGGGGCTCCCGGAGGCCATCCCCATCAAGGGCCTGGTGGCAGGACCCCCTCATGCTGAGGCCAGTCTCCCTGCCAGCGGGCACTGGATACCTTGTCCTGTGAGCAGACGAAGCGGGCCGGCTCCGTGCTGCCCCGCTGTTGCCGTAGGCCAGAGCAGAGGAAGTCCCAGTAATCCTTCCGAGGCCTCAGGAGGCTCTTCTGCTCTTTCTGGTCAAACTGGGAGCAAGACCAGGGAAAGGAAGGCATGGAAATGTTTCCTCCCGGAACCCACCTTGCATTCCAGCACGCTGAGAATGGAGGGGAAAGGGCTACTGCAGGCAGACCTGGCTTCAGGAGCTGGCTCTGCCCTCAAAGGCTGTGTGACCACGCTCAAGGTGCAGGACCTCTCTGAGCCTTTGGTATTCTCATTCATTCATTCCAGTAATACTTACTGAGCACTTACTATGCGTCAGGCTCTGCTCTGTGCCCTGGGAATATACAGCAGTGAGCAAACTGACCTCATGAGCTTATACCTTGGTAGTGGAGACAGACAATGTGCAGAGTAAGTAGAACATATAGGATGTTAGATGGTGCTGACTGCTAAGGAGAAAAATAAGGCAGGGAAAGAGAATAGAAAGCATGTGGTATGTGCACACGTGTGTGTATGTGGTGTGTGTGTGAGATGTGTGCGGGGTGTGTGATGTCTGTGAGCGTGTGGTGTGTATGTGTGTGTGTGTTTTAAAAAATTGTATTAGGGTGGCTAGAGAGAGCCTCACTGAGGCGATACTGTTCAAAGTCCAGATCCAAAGGAAATGAGAAATTGTGCCATTCAGATTTCTGGGGGAGAGCATTCCAGGCAGAGGGCAAGTGCAAAGGCCCTGAGGTAGGTGTATGCTTTCGAAAGATCAAGGAGGTCAGTGTGAATGGAATGCAGCAAATGATGGGGGTAGACTGGCAGAAGATGAACACATGCATCCTACCAACCTCACATGTACACTCACACCACACACATGTGCATAACATGCAGAAGAAGAACATGCAGGGTATGTGCGTGTATGTGGGGCTGGTAAGGTCATCCAGCACCTCAGGGGGTTATAATGAGAATTTAAGGGGCACCTGGGTGGCTCAGTCGGTTAAGCATCCTCCTTCGGCTCAGGTCATGATCTCACGGTTTGTGGGTTCAAGCCCCGCGTCGGGCTCTGCGCTGACAGCTCGGAGCCTGGAGCCTGCTTGGGATTCTGTGTCTCCTACTCTCTCTCTCTGCCCCTCCCCTACTTGTGTGCATGTGCTCTCTCTCCCTCTCCCTCTCTCAAAAATAAGTAAATAAACATTTGAAAAGAAAAGAATGAGAATTTAATAAGGTGGGGCAAGAGAAGGGCTTTGCCCGGCCCTTGGTAAGTGCTCAACAAAAGCGCCAGCAGCAGAAAGGTCCAGCCCTAGGACATCTCAGCTCTGAGACTTCAGTCCTCAGAGAAAGGTGGCTGCCCTACCCCACCCCACTCCGCCCTGCCCCAGCCTCCTGTCCACCTCGTGCCCCAGGCTGCAATGTCAACCTCCAAGGGTGAGGTTAGATGTCGGGAAGGGCTTGCTGACTCTGAGGGTGCTGAGGTGGCCAGTGGCTCTTACTGAGTATCTGGGAAATCCCTGCTGGTGACCTGGGCCTGGAGAGAGCGGGGTGGGAAAGGGGCGGGGCGGGGGGGGGTCACCTGTAGCAGCAGCTCCAGGCAGCCACAGAGTCTGTGCAGCTCAGCGCTGGCATCTGTCACTGGAGGCTGCCCGGCAGGGTAGCCCTGGAGGATGGCGGAGACGGCAGCTGCAGGGGCGGGGGCGGGGGGATGGCGGACATCAGGCAGTAGGTAGTGAGGGCTCTGACGGAGGGGCTCCCAAGAGCCCTCACCTCTCTCCCAACTCAATCCCAGAAAATCTCTCAGGACACACTCACCTTTCAGGTTCCTGGTGAGGATGGCCCCTTCCTCTGCCATGAGTATTTCAAAATGATGTGATTCTTTGTGGCTCTGCAGGGTCAGTCCAGGAAGGAGCCTCCGGGCTCAGCTGCCCAGTGGTCTCCTTATACAGAGGAAGAATCAGCGCCTAGGCCAGGAATGGGAAATATCTTGAGTCACACGGTGAGTCAACTGGTAGGATAGACACTTGGGCTCTTCCTCATAGGCCAGCATGGGAAGGGGATGGTATGGGCCCCACACCAGGGGAGCAGTTCCTGGGTGCTAGGCCCTATGTTCTGTGCCTGACATCTTTGTCTTGTTCAGTCCCCATAATAACCTAGGAGGTCATTAACTCCATGAAAAATTTTTTTTAATGTTTATTTTGAGAGAGAGAGAGAGAGAGAGAGAGAGAGAGAAAGAGAAAGAGAGAGAGAAAGCGTGAGTGGAGGAGGGGCAGAGGGAGAGAATCTCAAGCTGACTCTATGCCCAGCTCGGAGCTGGACTCGGGGCTCGATCTCATGACTGTGAGATCACAACTGCGAGATCATGACCTGAGCCGCTATCAAGAGTTGGAAGCTTAACTGACTGAACTACCCAGGCCCTAAGTGGAGAAGCTAGAGTTTGAACTCAGGCCTGGGTGTCCACACACAGGGCAACCTGATGTGAGCGACCCTGTGAGGGCTCACGCCATGAGGACACTGGGCTGAGGGACGGTCACCCCTCTCTGCCACAGGGAGCCTTGCCAGAGCAGTCATCATCCTTGAGGCGCACATTCATCCTTTCCTGGCCCCCAGCTGAGTGGAAAATGTGTGTTGTTTGAGGAAAGGGAGGCAGAAGTAAAATGAGGCCCTAGAGCTGGGACTGGGCCAGAATGCTGGGTGTGTGTGGGGGGGCAGGGCACCTGGTTTTAATCCTGTGGTTCTCCCCCGCCAGGGGATCACAGCCTTTCTTCCCCCGTGGATCCTGGGGCTCAGATAGGAATACTGTGGCCGCTGGGGGCCAGTGGCTTATCCTGATGTCACCTGGAATAAAGACCAGTCATGGGAAACCCCAGGGGTCCTGTGTCTCAGACGATAGTTGCTGGAATTCGGGGGTGTGGGTAGGAGTAAAGAAACAGGGGACACAGTGGAGGGAGAAAGGGAGGCAAACAAAGGTAGACGAGGGTGGAGGGTGGAGATGGTGCTCAGGAAACACTGAGCTGGACGTTGAGAGCCCTGGGTCTTCATCCTGACCCTGCTACTAACTCACTGTGTGGCCTTAGGCTCATCATTGGCTTTCCCTGGGCCTCAGTTTCCCCATCTATAGACCAAGGGGGTGGGCTGAGGGTTTCTGCACCCCTTTCCAGTCCAGATCCACTTTGAACTCCATGAACACCTAGATGTGCCTCATCACCTCTCATTTCTATCCAAGTGTCCCTGCCTCTCGCTCCCAGCATTGCCCCATTTCTCCAGCCACCCCTAGACCCCTTCCTTGCTACTCACCTGGGAAGGCTGGCTGGGAGACGGAGAGCCGGCACTGCAGCCCGAGCCTGTCACTTGTGACCGTGGGTCCCGCGCAGCCTTTCCCAGAGTGCGGCCTGGGAAGTGACTCAGGCCCAGCCCAGCAGGAGCAGGAGGAGCAGAAAATCATGGGGGACATGGGGGAGAGGCGGGATCCAAGGCACCAGGGCAGAATGGGTAAGCTGGGGGATGGTACCCTTCGGGCAGATGGGGTGGCAGATTCACTTGTTGGCCAGACACCAACTCATCCAGAGCCACAGCGGCAATTGCCCCTATATGCGAGTTTCCTTCCCTTTCTCAACAGGGTCACTGGCTCTTGCCTTTCTTCCTTGTCGCCACCAGGCGGCACAGAGAGGCTGTGATTGCTGCTCTACCAGAAATTCTGTCTTTTCGAGCCTCGGTTGAACTGCGGAGCAGGTGGGGAGGAGGAGGACAGGGTCCCACCACGTATCTCCCTCCCCTTCCCCACCTCAGTCTCCGGGTCACCAGCGCCATCCTGCTCCGCCCCGCACTCACCCCTAGAAGAATGGAAGTGAAGCCACTGTGAACCCGGGTTCACAGCTGGGTTGCCCGGGTGGGCCGTGTTCTCCCACCCTGGCTGTGCCCCGCCTCCTCGAGGCCGGGGTCTTTCCACCTCCGGGTCCTCATTTTTCCAGGCTGGGATGCCCCGAGGGCTAGTATTGGGGGCCGAGAACAGAGGGGCAGGCACCTGCGAAGACTACTGTTTCACAGACCTCAGGAACCGCCTGGAAACTGGCACTCGAGGTGGCCGAGCCCGGGTCCGCCGTTCCGCCGCGGACTTCCTGCCCGTCTCTCCCTCTCTGGGACACGGTCTCCCCGCGCAGAGGCTCCGGCCCCCATCTCTGTCCCCCGTGTCCCCGTGTCCCCGGTCTCTCCCTCACTGCTCCCGTCGGTCTTCTTCTCGCCCTCCCCAGACTCGGCCGGCCGCCGCCCGGGCCCCCGAGACCCCGCCACCGCCCCTCCCCGCGCCCCCGCGTCCCCCTCCGCCCCTGGCTGCGTCCGGGCGCCCGTGTCGCCGCCCCTCTCCCGGCCCGCACTCCCCG